GGCACGCGCGCGTGGCTGCGGGCGGCGGCCGCGCGGCAAAAGGCTCTAGCTGCGGGGCTTGCAGCCGGACCACTCGAGCGCGCGCCTGCTGCGCCGCTCCGCTCCGCCTTAGCCCAGCACAGGCACCCGAGCCGAGCGCCCGCTGCCCTGGCGAGAATCGCCTGCGGCGCCCAGCCCGCGGTAACGGCCCCACTGGTTGGGGGACTGTGAATCCTGCCCGGGAGAAGCGCGTCTCCACTCTGTACCTCCCCTGCACGCTCTGCGCTGGAAGCCCCCTGACATCGCTGGCGCCGACCCCACTATTAGTGCGGCTGACTGGCCTTCAGCTCGGGCAGGACACCTTCAGGAACACGCATGGGACCTGCCTTTTCCTTCCCGGCTTCGCTTTCCAATAAAAAACAGAAAACGCGCAGGAGCCTTGAGTCAAACAAACCCGAACGGGAAAGACAAAACAAGCAGCTTCAACTTGGCGGCGCTCACGTGCGCACGCAACCTCGCCGGTCAGGCTGTTGTGACAGAAGAGTAGCCAGCTGGACTGGCCCTTTTTGAGTGGCCTGGCGAATGGCACATTGTGTTGCGTAGATGGGAGGTTGCCTTGAGCAGCCTCCTGCTCGGGTACGTCTTTGCTACAGTCTTGTTTACTTACAAAGTCCTGTTTCCTTAAACACAGTAAAAACCAAACTGCAGGAGATAGGCATGTAACTGTGAAACAGAAAACTTTCTGCCAGCACTTTGCTCTAGTGCCTTTTTTCTTGTAGCTTTTTTTCTTAGGGTCTAGCTACCAGAGCTTCTTTGACTACGTATAATATAGACTTCTTTCTCCATCTTTGGGGGCCCTGCTTCTCTTTCGCTATCCAGGCCCCACCAACCTAACCCCAGAATTTTGCATTTCATTTTCCAGTGAAATTGCTTGAGGCCTATGCTTCAATTTCTGCTCAAGCCTTGCAATATAGTCCATGTGTTCCCAAACTGGAGGGGGGGAGGGCGTGAAGACATTCCAAGGGGGGTGCGAGGCGACCCAGCCAGCCCTTCCCGTCAATCCCTTTCCCATAAGTTTTTCTGCTATATTTGTTTTTCTGTCCCGGTCAGTTCCTTTTTTTTTTTTGCTCAACAAGTTTTGCTGCTATTGGTGGGAGGGGAGCATGAGGGTTTCTCAAAAATCAAAAAGGGGGCGTGATGCCTAAAAGCTTGGGAACCACTACAATATACCCATTGGCGTCTATTGCTTCAGCTACCTGGTCTCATAAAGGAACCTTACATTTATCCTGATGGTGCCCTACCAGCCCCACTAAAGTTTCCTTCAAATTCTCAGCATAATAATATAATAATATATACAAGTTTGCTTCCACTTAGGGACATACAAGGAATTATCTTCCTCTGCTTTGTGGGACGTGGGCATTATTTGCAACTTTAACCACCAGCCCTTTAATAAATTTGCTATAATCTATACCACAGACAATAAATTCAGTAGCTAACCAGGAATAGCTTGATAAATTCACATTATTTTACCCCAGTGCTCTTAATCATCTCATGTGAATCTGATAAAAAATTAACAGAGATATATGGGTGGGAAGAAGACTTTTTATAGAAATCTTCACTTTATTCTTTTGTGGGTGTTTATATTAGGTATGTATTCCAGCAACAGTTTTTTATAATGCGTAGAGGACATACAGGAATAGCTATTATAAACCATGTCTATCTCTCCACATATGTGCAATGTGCTTAGCCATTTCCTATCACCATAATCAGTCACTTAGGCTGTGTCCAGACTCAGGGGTTTTTTCGGGAAAAGTAGCCTTTTTCCGAAAAAACTTCACCTGCGTCTAGACTGCAGCCGCGTTCTTTCGAAATTAAATCGAAAGAACACGGCTTTTCTTTCGACGGCGGTAAACCTCATTTCATGAGGAAGAACGCCTTCTTTCGAAAGTGCTTCTTTCGAAAGAAGGCGTTCTTGAATGTAAATAGGGCTTCTTCAAAAGAGAGCATCCAGACTCACTGGGTGCTTTCTTTCGAAAAAGCGGCTTGCTCTTTCGAAAGTTCCGCGTGCAGTCTAGACGCTCTCTTTCGAAAGAGGCTTGCAGTCTAGACATAGCCTTAAAGAGGTGGTAATCAGCTGTTGATGTCAGTCAGCTCTCACTCATCAAGGATATGTGACATAACCTAAAGTTCACTGCATCTACATTGTCGGTCATTAGAGAAATCTCATTAGAAAAAAATGACCCCACGATTGCTCAGGCCTGTTCAACACTGGTTCAGGGAAGACTACAAGGATCTTGGGAAATCAAAATCTGATGGGCAGAAAGTTGAGTCAGTGGTGAAAGAGTGAATAACAACTGTCATTGCTGACCACTCAGCAGATTCTGCTATAATGTCTATAAGTGACCATAAAGGGTGTTTAGAAGACAGGCAAATTGGTGAGTGATTGAAGAGGGCTGAGTACAAAGGCAAGTTGTTCTCAGAGATCTTGGCCAGGAGCATGATGGAGTCCCTCTTGCAGCAGATGTGGTGCAGTGCTGTGTTACTAAGTCATGGCTAACGAGTTCCACATAAAGTTCTGTAACAATGCACATATCTTTGTTAAGTTCTATATCGATGAGCCTCATGTGAGACGAGACAACAGGCAGGAGCACAGTACTCTGCAGCAGAATAACGAGGACAATGACGGATATTAAGCATCCCAGAATTTGCACCCCAGGTTGAGCTGGACAGTTTTCTGAGCAATTTGTTCCGAGTGCTACGTTGAACTGCCTTCTTCAAGTGGTTGTGGTATAGTAATTACTCGTTTAACATGTTCCCGCTACCTTCTTCAAGTGGTTGTGGTACAGTAATTACTCGTTTAACATGTTCCCGCTTCACACGTTTTCATGATAGCACGATTTTTTTAAGGAATGTTTTTTTAATAACATGACCGTCCCAAAATAACACAAAAAAAAATCAAGTGGCGGACTACTTTGTGCGGCAGTATAAGTTGTGAAAACAGCAGTAATACTGTACTCTATGCATGAGCAGATGAATACTGTACATGGGGTCATAGCGCTCCTCCGCTCACTCACGTGTTTATCCTGTGTTAACAAACAGCGGCGACTTGCATTGCTAGATACTGTATCTTGCTGTGTATTACTATATCACTTATCATGAGTGGAAAGCGTAAAGAAAGTTATACATCTGCTTCTGCAAGCAAGAAGCATAGAAAATCGTCTACATTAGAAGAGAAACTTGCAGTGATTAAGCAAATTGAAAAAGGTGAATGCAGTTGTGGTATCTCCTGCACTTTGATACAGTGAGGTATCATTAACTATTATAGCTGTTTAAGTATTCTAGGAAAAGCTTAGGAAAATGCATGGTAAAGATTTTAGCTGCTTTATTTAAAATTAATTAGTTGGCATACTAAGATGGTGTTTTCACTGTGTACTAATTTTGTAGCATTTTGAGGATGCAATCTTCAAATATTATTATATTACAATTTCTTTTACTTGGATTATTGACATATTTAAGATAAAGACATTCATGAGTTTTAACATATGTGCAGAATTTTATAATGATTATATATTTGGTATGAATTATACTACTTAGTATTCTCATTGCTAATTATTTTATTAAATCTAATACACAGTAAAAATGTCTGCTAGTCCTCGAGGAGTAACGGTAGTTCGGAATAGCGGCGACTTGCATTGCTAGATACTGTATCTTGCTGTGTATTACTATATCACTTATCATGAGTGGAAAGCGTAAAGAAAGTTATACATCTGCTTCTGCAAGCAAGAAGCATAGAAAATCGTCTACATTAGAAGAGAAACTTGCAGTGATTAAGCAAATTGAAAAAGGTGAATGCAGTTGTGGTATCTCCTGCACTTTGATACAGTGAGGTATCATTAACTATTATAGCTGTTTAAGTATTCTAGGAAAAGCTTAGGAAAATGCATGGTAAAGATTTTAGCTGCTTTATTTAAAATTAATTAGTTGGCATATTTAGTGAATACAAAGCCTTGTTCACATATTGTAGCTGTTAGACATAAAATTTATATTTCTTAATCTTTCTGTGCAACACCTGGAATACAAATATTGTCCCATATATGTTTTCAATCTTA